GCCCCCGCGGCGTCTCTTGCCGTTGCCGCCCGCGCCGATCTGGGCCGTCCCCGGGCGCTGGCGGGCGGGCGGGGAGTCCCCGGCGGGCGAGGCTAAGCCGCTCCGGGGAGCGCGGCTACGATCCTGGCCCTGATGCCAGCTGGCAGGAGCGCGGGGCGACGGGAGCGGGGAGCGAACCGCGGGCGGACCTCCCCAGAGCCGGGGCCAGGCGGCTGGCGCCTCCGGGCCTGGGTGTCTCTCCTTCCCGCGGCCGCGGACGGTCTCCAGTCTCGCCCCACGGGAGAAGTGGACTTGACCTTGCACCTGGTGCTGTGGAGTGCCAAATGGAGAGCGCGGAGCTCCGCTGCGAGGGACCAGGGATCAGGACCACAGCCGGGTGGGGCAGGGGGTGGAGGTCAGCAGGGAAAGGGGACTGGAGCGGCAACCCTTGCTTTGCCGGCCCTTCAGGCTCCGTGGCTTCGGACTCTGCCCGGAGCTCCTTTGCGCAGAGGCGCCGAATCGTGTGTGTATGTGTGCAGAGGCCTGTAGACTAGCTTGTGCAGCCCCTTCTTGTCTGGAAGGGATTTCAGCCAATGTGTGGTGTTTCCCCTTAGGTTTGTACTCCAATGAAAACGTTACCTAAAGAATCGTGCCAACATTCAAAAATTATGAGTCTACAGGAAACCCTGACTTTTAGGTTTTGTGTGTGGGTCGGAGGCCCTGTCAGCTGGCCTGTCCTGCCTGGGGTGGTGGCAGCTGGGCCTTGACTGCAGAGGCCGGCAAGTGGCCTGGGGTGGGGGTGGGGTCTTTGGTCTGCTGGGGCGCACGTGTGCGAGTGCATGTGCACGTGCAACAGTGAGTATGAGTGTGCCTGCGTGTGTCTCCCTGTTTGGTCTGGAGTCATCAGCATTTAGGGGACCGTGCCCAGGGCCAACCCCTTGGGCCCTGGCTGTACCAGAGTTGAGATGCATGTGAGAAGCATAACCTGCACCCCAGTTTCAGCGTCTCAAGGCCAGCTGAGGTGGGCTCCAGGGTGGCCTCGGGGAGGGAATGGGCTTCCAGGCCTAGAATCCCAAGCCCCTTCCGCCCCTGCCAAGGGATCTGCTGTTCTGCTGGGGGTCCTGAATGCACTGCCTGGGGGGTAGGATGGCTATGTTGCCATTCGTTTATGTCTCAGAAAAGCTGTTAAAATATGTAAGACCACACCAGAAGGCACTCCTGGACGCAAACCTGGAGAACCAGAATAAACACATTCCAAAACCAAGGGAAGGGAGACTTGCAGCTTTCCAAAGGGAGCTAGAGCATCTGCTATGGTCAGACGGGCGCAGTCCCTGAGCTTAGGCCCTTGGAAAAGGGCGTTGCTCAGGGACACCCAGGCCCCGAAGCCCCTGCTTATCTTATAAATGCTTTAAAACTGTCCTCAATCCAGAGAGGCCTGGGGCAGCATGGTGAGGCTTCCCCAGTAGTGATTTCTTGCTACATATGGGGGCAAGGCAGGAGGGGCGCTTCAGGGTGCTGGAGCCTGCCGTTGCCTGAAGTCTCCAGACCTGCTATGTACCTGAACTGGAGGTGTGGGCCTGCATGGGGCTGGAGAAGCTACCCAGACAAGAGGGCAGAGATGCCCTGTTGCCCACCAGGTACCCTTAAACTCGGTGTTGATTTCCCATGGGGCAGGGCATATTGAGACTCCTGGGGACATGTCTCAAATGACACGATAGCTGTGTTATTTCTTTTCTTTTTTTTTTCTTTTGAATACATGTATGATTTTTATTTAAGCAGTAACCTATAGATGCTCAATACATTTCTTTTTTTCAGGTTACATTGCAAACTTTATTGATCATTCACATATCTGTGTTTCCGCAATATCACAATTCGTGCATTTATACATATTTTTTTTCAACAAATAATACACTGCATATATTCTTCTTAGTGGTTAATTGCTGTGCAAGATGCAGACTTGTGATCCTACTTACAAACACCATTAGAACAAATCATTCTATTCATTAAGAGAATGCAACTATATATCTATCCCAACCACTTTGAATACACAGATACAAAATGGACATTCATAGTTATACCCCAATTTTTTTTAAGTTCCGTTGTGTTGAATATTATAGGTGTGTAAACTCAGCAAAATATTCTAAAAGAGTACAGAAGCCCATAATAGCATTGGGTCTTCTGTTTAATTGGCAATGTCAGAAATTATTGACGGGAGTCCCCCACAGCTCAACATAACAACATGGCTTTACTTCCTATATTTCATCTTCATAGCTGTGTTATTTCTAACTTCACCCGTGAACCTGAAGCCTAGGCTATGAGACCCATTTCACAGAAGAGAAAACCAGGGTTCAAAGGGCTTGCAAGCCTGGCTCTGGGTCAGGCCAAGCCCTTCTCATTCTTGTGTGAGTTAGCAGGCCTAGGATCCTACCGGTGGCTGTCTGGCTCCAGAGCCCTGGAAGCCTCACCCCTGTGCACATCTCACACCCCCAGGCCAGGGTGAGGGCTAGTCAATGCAGGGTCTAGAAGGCCCCACCTTGGCTCCTTCTGAGGGACACTTGCCAGGAGAGAGTGTAGTCTCAGAGTGGTAAGGCTGGGGCACTTTTGAAAGGCCACATAACCCCTCTCAGCTTGGCCTGTGACACACCCTCCCCCCCAGGCCCCCATCGGGATTTCCCACCCTGTGGGAAACAAGCCCAGAAAAGGAAGAAGGGCACCCATGAGCAGTTGCTCTTGTGACTGGCAATGGCTGTGGCCTGCTGACACATGGAGAAACATTGTCCCTGTAGAAGCTGTCTAATCCAACACAACCCTGCTGGAATAAGGGTTCTCCTAGGAAAAAGAATCTTCCTAGTGGGCTGCAGGGTTTCACCCAGCTTTCCACTTTAAGTCCAGCAATGCACTTTAAGTCCCCCTAGGCGGGTGTTTCTAGTTTCTGAGGTCAGACAACCCAGCAGCTGGGAACTGCTGCACAGGGCGGTGGACACCTGGTGGAGGCAGGCATCCGGGGAAGGTGGCTCAGGCATCCGACAGGCCACTGAAGGGCTGTTGCGGATTTCACAGGGGTCAGGGAGGTACTTCTGAAGTCTGGCACCCAAGGGTGCTCTGTTTTCTGTTTCCTTTCTCTCCCTGAAAGAAGAGTTTTGCCCATAGCCAGCCGAGGCTCTCTGCAGCCCTCTATCTGGACTCTGCTGTCAGTAGGCGGGAATTGGTGGAGGTGGTGATGGGGTGGTGGTGGTGGGAGATTAACTGCCGCCCAAGGGTTCTCAGAGTTCAAGCAGAGCAATTGTAGCTCTCCACCGTGCCTACCTTTGTCCCTTGAACCTATGCTTTCTCTGTTCTTTCGTGTATGGCCTCTAAATTCAGTCGAAGCAAAGGAACAGAACACGGCTAGTGGCACAATGGGATGATCCACCCGAGAGTGCTAAGCCGCCCTTGAAGTTCCGCTTCAGGAGGCAAGCGACATTCTCTCCCCGCCGCGTGGCTCGTTGTCCGAGAACCAGCAGATCGACGCAGAGCCGCCTCCCGCTGCAGTCCCGCGGGTGGGCACGCGGGGGCAGCGCCTCAGCCTCCGTCGCCCCGAGCCCCCAGTTGACATTCCAAAATTGGGGGATTTTCCACGCTGTCTTCCCCGGTACTCGGCCGGCGGCCCATTGTTGTCTCCGAAGAGGCAGAGGAGGGCGCCGAGTCTGTTCTCAAGCCTTGCTGGGGCCCGCGTTTCACGCGGCGCACACGGGGGTTTTGTTGGGGACAAACTTTTGAGGCGACGTGGGGTGAAGGCAGTCGCGGTGCGGGAGGCCGGCGCGGGCCTCCTCCTCAGTCTCTCTTCTGCTCCCTCCTCCGGCGTCAAGGACCCCCGCACCCCGCAGCTTCAGTTCCCGTCCTTCAGGGGCAACCCTACGGGACCCGCGGGCCGCCTGCTGTCCCCACTTTGTCCCCCCTCCCCGAGGGGCCCCCCAGCCGCTGTGAGTCGTCCCTGCTTGGTTCTGCGCAGCGTGGGGCACACTGCTGGACCACGAGAGCTGCCCTGGCGGCCCGCGCCCATGCCTGCTCTTTCCCCCCTGTGGACTTGGAGGTCTGCTCGCGTTGATCAAGAAGGGGGACTGACCATACACAGATTAGTGAGAGTCTGAGCAGTTCGGAGAGCTGGCTGCTTTGGCAGCTGCCGGCTGTGCACTGTGGGGACCCGGGGCGCCTACAGCCCTTCTCTACGGCCTGGGCCACGGTTTTCCCTGGCTGGCCACTCACACCCTGCCCTGTCCAGGTCTCTGTGACTCCCCCGTTCCGTGGGCTAAAACCAGGCGGTTGGGAGCTTGGCCTGCTCTCTGCGTGGACCTCAGAGCGGCTCGGCAGACAGTCCTCCTCCTGGGGTGTTGGCAGGGCAGATTCCGCCAGCGTGGTGGGGCATGGCCTGGTGTAATGTAGCCCACAGGCATAGCCCTGGCCTTTTTGCATGGAACTTCCGGGGGAGGGGGCACAGCTGGAGGATTGAGTCCACCTGGGTGCTGGGTGGGCCATATGGCAAACGTTCTTCTGGGTTGATGCTGTTGCTTTCTCTGCCCAGAGAGGCCCTGACTCAGCTGGGCAGGGTGCTGTCATGAGGGAGTGGGCAGTGTGAGAAGTCACCGGGCTGGGACATCTTCCTGGGGCAGGGTGAGGTGGCAGCACTGT